TGGGGGGGCAGGGGATGAGGACCCAGGTCCGATGCCCATTCCTGCCTGTGATCTCATTCCTGGTGGGACTCTGGGAGGAAATCAGCCCTCCTGTGTCTTCCGTACCCCAGTTTCTAGAACCTCCCGTCCTTTCTGGAGTCCTCTCTCTCCAGTGCTCGGGGCCCCTGGATAGAGGCCTGGGTGTGAAGGGTCCCCAGCCCTGTTCCCTTTCAGCCTCGCCCGTGGTGAAGCCATTTCCCAGCGCGGTCCGGGCCCTGGTGGAGGAGGAGGTGCTGCTGCCTTGCGCAGCCTGGGGTGTCCCCCGGCCCAGCATCACCTGGCAGAAGGAGGGGCTCAGCATCCCTGAGGGTGAGTCTGCACTGAGCCCAGAGCCCTAGGGAGGAGGGCAGAAGGGGCTGGGGTCCTCCTCCACCCCCCCCCGGGGGGCCTCTGCAGACCTGCCCACCCCCCTTCATCTCCTGCACCCACGGCCTGAGACGGCCTGAGCGCTCGGTGGCTAGGCTGGAGGTCGGAGAGGGGACAGCCTGGCTGGCTCTGGGTCCAGCTTCCACACTCCCTCTGTCCCCGCATCACCCCATGACAGCGGTGTGTCACCTGCTGCCTGACCTGACAGAACAGCCCAAGCCACCCTCCTGCCCTCCTCAGGGGTCCTTTGGCCCCAGCCCCCATTTTTTTCCCACTCAATCCAGGAAGGGATACCCAGGTCCTACCCAGCGGACAGCTGCGGATCACCCACGCCCGCCCAGAGGACGCCGGGAACTACTTTTGCATCGCCCAGAACAGCGCAGGCAGTGCCGTGGGCAAAACGCGCCTGGTGGTGCAAGGTGGGCCCGGGGAGGGGCCGAGGCGGACCCGGCCAGCTGGGGGCCAGCTAGGGGCTTTGAGGCTCCCAAGGGCCCCTTGCTTCTCCACTGGCTCTGAGCCCGGGGGGAGAGGGAGGGGGGTTATCCCTGTGTCTTCCCCGGGGTACCCCAGCACCGTCTGTGGGTCTAGAAGGAATTTGGAGAAAATGTTGCGCCCAGGTCTGACTTCAGATGGTAACTCGGTGCCTCTGACTCCCAGCCTCTGATGGGACGCTAATCTCGTCACCCTCGTTCGCTCCTGTAGCAACAGCCACTTCTGTCCCTCCTCCTGCACCAGCACCGTTACACGCGTGCTCGCCTTAGTCTGATGATGGCGGTCTCCAGAGATAAAGGAGACATCGCTGGCCCCACATCCGCATGGCACCCGGGAATGTTCAGTGTGGGCCGGGCCTGCTGTAACCCAGGGCCAGCTCTGGGGGCGGCTTGGGGGCTGTCCCTGTGGGCGGCTGTGCACAGCTGGGGTCGGACTTTGGCTGGGAGCCCCGAGGGGTGCCTGGCTCCAGGCCTCCTCCCCAGCCTCCTGGCCCAGTGCGCTCCTCTTCCCTGCACCTCGGAGCATCACTGCGGTCACCAGAGGGCCAGGCACCACGCCTGCCGGGCCTGTGACCTGCCCCCTGCCCCCCGCGTAGCTCCTCCCCAGGGAGGAAGGCGCCCGGCAGAAGGGACCTGTGCCCACGTGCAGCCTGGCCAGGGAGGCCTCTGTCCGGAAGCTATAGTCACTGCATGTGTGTGAGTGTGGTATATGTGCACGTGCATGTGTGTGCGTGTGGTATATGCGCACGTGCATGTGTGTGCAAGGAGGCCACCCTCTCACAGCTCTTCCGAAAACTCGAGCCCCCAATTGTCCAGACCATGGGCCGTGGTCTGTGCCCAGAAAGTTGGTGGAAGCAGCAGATGGGGGTGAAAGAAGGGACTGAGGGGTTTGCCAAGGGCCTGGGGGCAGGAGCAGCCCACCCTCACCCAGCCCCAGTCCCCGAGTGGGCCTGCCTGTCCCCACAGTTCCTCCCGTGATCGAGACTGGCCTCCCCGACCTGGCCACCACCGAAGGCTCCCACGCCCTCCTGCCCTGCACCGCCCGGGGCAGCCCTGAGCCGGACATCACCTGGGAAAAGGACGGCCAGCCTGTGTCGGGAGCTGAGGGCAAGTTCAGCATCCAGCCATCCGGGCAGCTGCTGGTGAGGAACTCGGAGGTGAGACTCCGGCCTGGCGCACAGAGGGGAGCCCTGGCAGCAGGGGGAGCGGTGAGCATCGGCTGCACCCCCTGCTCGTCATGCTGAGCGCTGTGCAGTCTCAGCCCAGGATCCTGGGAAGATAGGTGTCACCGTCCCCGGGAACAGAGGAAGACACCGAGGCTCTGCGTGTCCCCAGGTCACGCTGTTCCCAAGCAGAACCACGATTTGAACATGGGCCCCCTGACGAGCTCCCGGGGAGGGAGGGAGCCCGGATAGGGGCAGGGTATGGCCATGGCTCTGCGTCCCCAGCCTGTGCCTGCTTGTCCTCAGCCTCATGTTGATGTTGACGGGAGGTGGGGAACCTGCCCCCTTCCCCATCGGCACTTAGCGGATTCTGTAATTACAAAAAGGGCTGCTCTCCACATGTGCGGCTGCTCAGACACACCTGGGGGTGGGGGGCTCAGGGCACCGCAGATCCTGCCCCACGGGAGGCCGGGTGGTGCAGTGGTGAGGCGCTGGCCCTGCTTCCTCTTGGAGAAGTCGCCAAAAGCAGGAGCTTCCTAGGGACCGTGTTGGCGTGGATGGGCTGGTCCAGGGCAAGTTCTGAGCACAGAGCTCGGCCCTGAGTAGGCGCTTGGTGAACAGAAACTGCCGTGATGGCGCGGTCAGGGCTCGGGGGAGGAAGCTGCGGGGCCGCAGGAAGCTGGAGAAGGGCAGGGGTGCAGCGAGCCCTGTGCCAGCTGAGGGACCTCGGGCAGCTCTCCGCCTCTGGCGGCTGCCCCAGGGGAA